AAGAGTAAATAATCACAATAATTTGTAACAATTCTTGAATAAGTACAAAAAAAAATATTAACAATGAAAAAAGCCCCCATATTCCCAGAAATCTGATATATGGCAATATAAGTAAACCACTTAATTAACATTCAAGTTCATGTTTGGATTCTACAAATCTAAGAAGTCTTATCATGTCATATACATGTGCATTTGCGTCAACATTTATTTCAAAATATTGCCAAAATGGCTATTTACATATTTATTTTTTAATGATTAGAATTACAAATAGGCAGCAGGGTGGCGCAGTGGGTAGCCCAATCGCCTCACAGCAAAAAGGTCGCTGGCTCGAGCCCCGCCTGTGTCAGTTGGCATTTCTGTGAGGAGTTTGCATGTTCTCCTAGTGTTCGTGTGGGTTTCCTCCAGGTGCTCCGGTTTCCCCCACAGTCCAAAAACATGCATTACAGGTAAATAGAATAAGCTAAATTGGCCGTAGTGTATGTCAGTGTGTGCAAGATTGTGCGAGTGTTTCCCTAGTGATGGGTAGCAGCTGGAAGGGCATCCACTGCATAAAATGTGCTGGATAAGTTGGCGGTTCATTCCGTTGTGGCGACCCCTGATTAATAAAGGGGCTGAGCTGAAAAGAAAATGAATGAATGAATGAGAATTACAAATATGTACATATTGCATTCATTCATTTTCTTTTCAGCTTAGTTCCTTTATTAATTCGGGGTCACCACAGTGGAATGAACCGCCAACTTATCTAGCATGTTTTTACGCAGGGATGCCCTTCCAGCCGCAACCCATCTCTGGAAAACATCCACACACACACACCCATTCACACTCAAACAGTAGGGACAATTTAGCCTACCCAATTCACCTGTACCGCTTGTCTTTGGACAGTGGGGGAAATCGGAGCACCCAGAGGAAACCCACGCAAACGCAGGGAGAACATGCAAACTCCACACAGAAACACCAACTAACCCAGCCGAGGCTCCAACCAGCGAAACTTCTTGCTGTGAGGCGACAGCACTACCTACTGCGCCACTGCGTCGCCTATGAACATATTTATTCAACTTTAATTTTCAATACTCCTATTTGATTTATAGACAAATGAATGGCCAATGTACCAAATCAAATAATTAATCACATAATTGCAATTACTTTACACAAATAAAAAGGCTGATGACTTTTCTAAAACTAGAGAAGATTAAATAAACACTAAGGGGTTAGGTGGACAGGTCATATACGTACTGGGAACCGATTTTATAATATTTTAAAAATCTGAAAGAATTAGCCTGCGGTTAAATAATCTTTATATCTCTTTGTATCTACTTCTTGATGTTTCTTGTCTGTAATGTAGTTCATCCTGCAAATTTTTATTCATTTATTTTTCTTCCTGTTATTTGTAATTGTTTTTTTTCTTCTTTTTCTTTCTTCCATCATCACTGTGACATTACGACAGGCTTGACTCCAGACTGTTTAATTATTGTATTTGACTCTAATTATTGTGTTAAACTGCCTTGGGATGTTCAGTTCTTGGGGTGGGACTTGGGTTAAAAAAAAAAAAACTGAAAAGAATGAAACTAATGTTTATTGTTGTATTGTATGAAAACATTATTTTCCTTTAATAAAAATAAAGAAATAACTAAATAAAAATAAATAACTAAGGCGAATATCATAATTGTGACAGCATGGATTTTAAAGCGATAGTTTTGAGTGAACTATCCCCTTTAATTCTGATACCTATCAACTCAAATCTTCATGCATGTGTTTCAGAAACAGAGACCTAAGAGGGTAAAGGCGTTGTATAACTGTGTGGCTGATAACGCAGATGAACTGACCTTCTCAGAAGGAGAGATGATAATTGTGGACGGAGAAGAGGACAAGGAGTGGTGGGTGAGTACAGTCAGAAACTGACATGAGCTAAATGAACCACTCGTGATCCTGACGCTGTTCCGCATGTCCTGCAGGTGGGCCACATTGATGGGGAACCAACCAGAAGGGGCGTTTTTCCAGTCGCGTTCGTTCACTTCGTCACTGACTGATGTCAAAAGTCTGCTGTCTAAAGCCCAGCTCACATTGTGCGATTTCGAATACTACTAAATGATTGTAGCATCAGAGTGCACAAGTATGATCCGCATGTGTCCCTCAGTTTTCATAATGTCAGATTGAACCACAGTTAAGATGCACCAAACATGGACACGCAAGAAAACTCACCCTGGAGTTTGGCATCATCCATCTGTGACACCTTCACTCTACTGCATCCTGACATGAAACCTCACGGTAAACATAAACAAACTGTAGCAACACTTTTACTTACAACACGTCTCAGTGATAACCGGAAAAGGCAGTGGTTTGAAAGTGTCGTTCTGATTGCGTCATCAGATATACCGCTCCTATTGATTCTTGGTTTGACGCTCGTCTTAACTGAATTCACACTTCAGCCAAGAGTCTGAACGCCCGACACCACCAGAACTTCTTCATCAGAGGGAAAATCTGATCGTAGAGGCCATCAATCAAGGAATCAAAAACTACAGATTTTAGGCTAGGATTACTGGAATCTTTTAGGATTTTCCATATTAGTCTCAGATGGCCAAATCATCTCTGAAATTGCACAGTGTGAGCAGGGCTTAAATCAGATCACCAAACTATTGTTGAGACCTAACACCACTGAATATTTAACAATCAATACACCCCTCAGCCATCCGTGTGGCTAATTGGTGGTGTACGAGACATTCACAAGCATTAAGACCTCAGGAAGTGTTACTTTGATTACTTTGATTCTAAGTGCAATTACCTCTACCTTTAATACGGAAATCGTTTATGAACTGTGATGAGTGATATGCATTATACGGGGACGGTTTGGTTTTATTAAGCGAGATGTGGTTGGATGAGCTTTTTGTGTTTTTCAGACAGCAGTGGCAGAGTGACTCCTATTTGGCAAGTGTTTAAAGGCACAATATGTAATATTCACCACAAGGGGGCACATATTCACAACAAACAAATGGTTATGTCTGTTAGGGTGCTGCACTTTGCAGTGTAATAAAACGCACAACATTTTAAAGCGTCTTTGGAGTTTTTCTGTTTTCTAGAAAACCAAACTAGAAATCGAAGGTGATGAGCAACTGGAAAATGCAGGTGTATGATGTCATAAGCATGGAGACACTAGTTAAAATAACTTATATCTCTGGATTTGAACATTCTTCCTAACCTTTGGGATAATGCAAGTACTCAAGCCAAAATATATCACACTGTTTTAGTGATTTTAGGATATTTGAAAGAAAATAATCGTACATATTGTGCCTTTAAGTAACATGATGAACCAGGTAGGTTGCTTCTCAAGATTTGTTACCAGACAAGCCATTAAACTTACTCTGCTTCATTTTCAGCCTTAATATTTTTTTTTTACAAAATGTTATAGTGGCTTAGAAAAACGTTTTTAGTAACATTCATGATTTTTGTGGAAACCAGATTGAATAGAAAGAAGTATGGAATTTATTTTAAATAATATATTACATGACTGTAATATTCTTAATGTGTGTACTGTCATTTTTCATCAGTGTAATGCATCCTTGCTCAATAAAAACATGTATTTTTTTTAAATATATGTCATTTTGGTAGAGCACAACTATACACGACTCTCCCTATAAATCAAGGGCCCAGTTTTTAAAAAAAATTTAATCTGGATCAAATTGGTCCAGATTTGGAAATGCCATGTTTTGCTATGCAGGATAAACTCATCTATTTTACTTTTATGACAGTTTTTAAAGAAACATTGGGTTGGATCACTGTGATCCAAATACCAAATTTCTGCATTACCAAATTCTGTTTACCAAAGCCTTAATTGGAACCAACCGGCTTAGAAAAGATTAACAGGTAGGCAAAATACCAGTGGCCACAAACAGCCATTGTTTGTTTTAATGGTAAGAAACAAAAACACTGCAATCAACAAACATTTGACATTAGTTGGTTCTAATAAAATACTGCTGTGATATTGTTTTGTTGTTGTTTACCATATCTCATTAGATGTGACATGCTTCATATAGGAAGGAATTCATATATCATCAGTAACCATTAAGTTTGTGATCATTCATTTAAAAATAGGGATGTAACAATATTGTAAATACCGTCATACCGCAATAGCAATTTCTTTCAATATTACCGTGATTGTGACTCAATAAAATTATAGGTCTTTTGGTGAAAAGTTTGCTCTGGCGAATGGAGCGAATGGGAGGCAGCGGAAACTACAATTTTCATCAGCCCAGACGTGGCCATCATCCTTTGCGTTCTGTTGTCGCTACAGATCCAGTAATGCAGAAATGGAGTGTGTTGCTAGTAGCGGCAAAGAAAAAGAGCTAAAAATGGTCGAACCTAAAGCGGGTTTTAAATCAGATGTGTGGAAGCATTTCAGTTTCTCTCTGAAAAGAAACAAGAAAGAAGAAAAGGTGACAGAAAAAAGGGTATGCAGGCACTGCCAGACTGTGCTGAAATACAAGTCGGGGAATACGACTAACATGATGGGGATTCTTTTAGTCAAGGGGACAGCAGCACACAGCACACTGCTCAGATTAATGGAGACATTGACTTGTACCACCAAGAGACCTCTATCTCACTCATGGCTTGTCCTTTCGAGTGGCGTTTTTTTTTTACATAGTTTAATATTTTTTGTTATTAAAATTGAATAATTTAAGTTCCTGTTTGAAAGTTTAGATAATTTGTATGTCATTGATCTGTTCAGTGTTGAGGTAACCTGAACATTCTAGCAATTTTTTTGAGTCTCTTCAATAGTTTTGTTTTTCCTTTAAATGATTCAATAAATACCATACCATGCCATTCATACCGAGGTATTACCATATCGTGAAATTTTTATACCGTTACATCCCTACTTAAAACATAAAACTTTATTTTAACTGGTTCAAAGATTTGATCCAATCCGTGATCCAAAATCCCACTGGATTACTTTTGAAAAACTGGGCCAGGTGGTTTGCTATTTTAAAAGAAAGGATCCATCCAAAGTCTATCTTTGACCATAATAGATTTTATTATTTTACAACATTATCAGATGCTTCATGAAACAATTTATCATTTTTCAAAAACAAAAGAAATGTTTTTTCAAGTTTTGTCATAAAGCTAATAGAAAAAATACTAATATTATATTTACAAACCAAAATTTTTCACAATAGATGTCTTTTTGAGAATGGATATGGACAGTGGTCTCTCCAAAGAGGCCTACAAAATCAGTCATAATGGGGTAGTTTGTCTTAAAGAAGCAAGGCTCATCTTTGTGGTCCTCAAGCGCTCTGTACAGCTGCTACAGTATTTGAAACATCTGGAAAAACAGAAGAAAAAATAACAAAAATAACAGACAAATCAATATTTATCAAATAAGTCTAGTATAAAATAAATGAGATGAAATGTTATTTTTTCACAAAAAAGAAAACAAAGCAAGCAAATATCTTAACAATTTTAGGTGTGCAAAATAATGCCATACTGCTAACCTGGTACAAGTGGTTGTGTTTGTATGCGGCTCTCTTCTAGTGATACGAAGCAGTCTGATTTGGTGAGCTTTGATTCTGTGTTAGATGAGTCCTCAGCATCACCCGGGCCCTCAGTCTCACAGGTAAGTGTATGGATGGGGCCACGGGAGCCCTTCAAGTGGATCTTGATTGATTCCTTGAGGAGAGCATAAAAGCAAGTTATTTTTATACTTATTACCTCACATGTTATCACATAAATGTCCTCTTAACATTATTTAAATACGGTTGGTAGTATAACCAAAATGTTGGTAGTATAACCAAAATATCACACGACTTACAATGTATGTATATAAGCAAGCAGAGGACTACAGTTTAACAAATATTGCTGCTGTTGAACAACATTATGTACTTTTTAGGCTTTTTTAGGTGATAATGGAGTTGTTTAAATTGCAACTATGCAGTTTATTTATGAAGACAGTGCCTATTTTAAAAATTCATAACTTCAGCGAGTTGGTGGCCAGCCTGTCATACTGAGCAGAGCAAAGAAGATTGTTGTTCTGCCACAAGGTGGCGACAGAGACTACATAATAAGTGCATAAGGGAGAAAAACAGCATTTTGTCAGCTGACATTTCAAGCTACAGCTGAATAATTCATTACGGAGCAGGTAAGTGACACTCTAAATCGATCTCTCTCATAACCAGAGCTATTTTAACAAAATAACTTATGCTCACGGTACAATAAAAAGTATACCCAATTTTATGTTAAAGAAATAATATTAAATAAATATTAGATAAAATATTAGTTATATATATACACACACACACACACACACACACACACACACACACACACACATATATATATATATATATATATATATATATATATATATATATATAATAAAAATATATATAGAATATAGTTGGAATCTTTTATATAATCATAATATATTAGATTTTTCTTTTGAATTACCTCAATAACAAATTATTTTATCATTTATAATACAATAAAGTATTTTTATACACAATACCTCAATAATAATAATCATTATTTTGCAATACATTTGAATTTAAATGCATTATCTTTCTATTCCTAATGTTATAATCGCTTAATACAACTGCACCAAAATTTCAACTAGTCTTTATTGACTGAAAAATGGATCAACATATTATAGAATATTTTAAACAATAATAAGTAATTTTTAAAAGAGAATGTACTCATTTATAATGTGCACTGTACATACATAAATATACAGTGAAAAGATTCATACACAGATATATGCCTTGTATGTAAATAAAATAACACAGTGAGAACATATTTCATCTTTGATCTGCAGTCATCCTCCCGATTTAACTAAGATTCAAAAGTTAAATGTCTTACTTCAGTGGGAGTTGGCACCTCTAGTTTGGTCTCCTCAGGGGCCCTAATGGCTATTATGGTCTGGTCCTTAAAAACATCGATCTGACAGATGTCCTCATATGTCACATAAGCTGAGGTACATGAGGGGTTAAGGCCAAAACAACGCAAAGAAGTACTAGAGCAATAGTATATCACAAAATAATGCTAGAAATATGAGTGGATATTCAGCATTGTCTTTGAGGTCGGTCAGGGCAAAGAGCTGTTGGGCGCAGTCCTTGATGAGCCAGTCGAGGGCTTCCTCTGTTGACTTCAGATGAAGGAGCTCAGCTTTTGCCTTGGGGCTCCACTGGCTCCCAAAAGAGCTGAGAGGTGTTGAACTCCTTGGACAAAGAAACAGGCGTATGAATGGCGTACTGATCACTCAAAAAAGCTGCTTGTTCAAACTTCTTAATTAAAATGAGCTGAAACAGCAATTCTTGAGAGATTTGTTGGGACAACTTAATTGCTTTATGTTTAATCCACAAAAAAAAGCTAATAAGTTAACTTAATGCCTTCATTTTCTCCCAACACAAATCGATTGTGTGGAATCCAACATTTTTTTACAGTGATGTATTAAAAGGATAGTTCACCCAAAAATGTACAGTTCACCTACTCAGTCCATTAAAGATTCTGAAGCCCCATGGGAATCGGGCGTAAAGGCTGATTTATATTTGTGTCAAGCGCACGCGTACGCTATGGCTCAGCCTACTCGTGCACGCTTAGCCCTAGCCATGGCCGTTGGCATCGCTGACGCGCACCTCTCAAAAAACGTAACTAAATGTCGCATTGACGCGTAGCGCAAGCTCTGTGATTGGTCGAACTGACGAGTTGGGGCTGGACAGAGCCGCGCGAGCCAATTGTACATTAAGGAAGCATTCAAAACAAAACACCAACGAAGAAACTTGACACAGAGGAACATTAATACCTCACTGCCTACTAGCGTTTCAGAAGTGTTATTGCAGAGCAAAAGAAACAACGCACAGAAGTATAAATGCACAGCTATGCGTGTTTCATGCGCCATGGGTCAGACTTAAGAGTGGCGGTTTTTTTACTGATGATGACATTAGTTTGACGGCTTCAGCCACAATATTCTTAACCACACCCCTCTTTAACATTAGTTTGCTATGATGAAATGTGCAAAAAGAAAACCTCTCCCCCTACTTAATATTCAGTTAAAGTTAAAAGTAGCTGTACCATACTAAAATGAAACTTCCGGTTCATGCAGACTTTAATCTAAAGAAGAATTACAGAGATTTATAGCTGAAAAAAGTGATAATTGAGACGTTCTCAGTGTGAAAAAAATCTGTGTGCTTCCAAATGGGATATATTGCCCAATACAGCTACTTTAGAGTGAAAAAAATCATGTAAAAATGTACATACAGCACCTTTAATATTTCATTGCACATGTTTAATACATTCTAACAGTAGGGTTATTAAGTAGTGAGAGCCGTTAGTAAATGAGCCTCTAAATATAAAATGTTGAATGACTTGCTGTAAACTTACATCCACTGGATCTTGTTTTTCGAAGTCTTCTTGAGTAGATGGATCCCTGCAAGCACGCTGGTGATGTCATACACCCGCCTCTTTCGTGCGCCTAGTTTTCGCGACACCTCATTGAGATCGAGAACTCCTTCCGGCGCTGCGTTAAGGAGCTGCATGAAGCGTTTAGTCAGTTGTCCAAGAGCAACTTCAGATCGATGCGGGGCTGCAATATGAAAAGAAGAAAGACTATTGAGGAAAGCTTTTTACATTTTGGTGTTCAAACTGAATTAATTTAAAAGCTTATAATCGACACCTTTACTGTTGAATACGTCATCAGCTACATTCACAGGTGGGAGAATGGTGGGACTGCTAAAGATAGGTCTGAAACTGAAAAAGTTCACAGTTTAATGCACATGTGTCAAATCCAGTTCCTGGAGGGCCACAGCTCAGCACAGTTTAGCTTTAACCCTAATTAAACACACCTGATCAAACTAATCGAGTCCTTCAGGCTTGTTTGAAACCTACAGGTAAGTGTTGAAGCAGGGTTAGAGCTAAACTGTAGAGCTGTGGCCCTACAGGAACTAGATTTGACACCTGAATGGGCAAATGAATCAGTATTGTTTCATATACAGACTTGAATGCAGTTTCACCTTTGAGTGACGCTCTGTTCTTGGGGTTTACTAATTGTGCTATTTGAATTGTTATCTGCAGGAATGTAGCCTTCATCCTCATATTCTTCGTCATCCTCAAAGTCTTCATCCTCAAGATCATCATCTGCAGCAGCTCCACTCTTAAACAACATTACAGATAAAAACACTGAATGGTGTTGTTTAACAACCCATGCAATTCAACATTGTCCCAGCTAAGTAAGTGCATATTTTATATTATAAGCTTTAAATAATCAACAGTAAAAGCTTTAAAGAAGTTTTTGCGACGCATTTTAGCTCAACAGGGAATTATCACTGATAACTGGATAAAAAAGTAACAAAATAAATACCGATTTATTTGTATTATTATTATTATTATTTATATTATTGTATATATGCCATTGTTATTTTATGATAATGTAAATCTTACTAAAGCATTAACAAGTCATTTATTTATTATATTGGCAAAATATTATATTAACATATTATGATTTATAAAGATTTGACCAATGTTAGGGCTGCACAACATATGGTTTCAGCATCGATATCGCAATGTGATCATTCGCAGAAGTCACATCGCAAGTATATCCAATGTTGAGTCTGGATTGTAATTTATCATTTTGCAAGTGTGTTTTGAGGCCTGTGACTTTGTGATGGTTTTAAAATACATTCAGGCATAGGAAAATGTACTGTTTGTAACTTTGAAAAATGTATAATTAATAATCAAATTAATATTAATTTTACTGAATGGTTTATAAAACAAAGACTATGCAGTGTCATTCTACATTTGGTTACTCAATTACTGTATACCTGAATACATTTCAACTCTTCGAAAAACAATAAAATGTTGTATATTTAATTAGCATCTTTTTCTTTAATTTGTCTTTGCTTGTAGATTGTTTATTAACAAATATTGTCCTCAATAATATAAATATTATGCTTATTAAACAAGACTTATAGTGCTCAATTGCTATACAAATCAACCTAAATCATATTTTATGCACTCCCCGAAAGGATCTTCCCAATCGATCTAAATTATAGATTCTTTACAAACATTTATTCAGATTATATCTGAATTATTATTATTATATCGCAGAATAGAAAAATATTGCAATTTGTCATTTTTCCAATATCGTGCAGCCCTAACCTATATATCCATAATAGAACTAAACTATTTATCTATTTTAGCTTAGAGGTATTCAGTGAGGAAATATTAACAAATTATTTATTTATTTCTAATTTAAACATTTTATTCAAACAAACAAGATTATGCTAAGATATGCAAATAAAAAAATATTTTAGTATAATGGACACAACACAAAATTCTAAAAATAAAACAGTAAGTAATAATAAATAAATAACAATTATAAAATAACTTGCATACATTACACAAGTCATCTATTTGATTTCAGTAAAATGTGACTATGTTAAACAACTAAACTTAATTCAAACAATTCATTTAAAGTTTTGAATATAAAATGTGTAAATACATATACAGGGTTCAACGCTAAGGATTTTTTCTACTGGCCCGATCGGACCAGTGGTTCAGATTTTTACTTGCCCTGCCAATGTTTTCACTGTCCCTACCAAAAAAAATGTTAAAAGCTATTTCTTAGCCACAAATAAAAAAAAAATGAAAAATGTGTCGAAATGTTTGTAAATCTAGAATTTAAATATTTAAAAAATGTAAATAAATGTACAATGAACAAAATCCAAAGTGTTTTGCAAACTAAAGCAGCAAAATGTTCAGGCATTTTATTGCAAAACAAAAGATGGCTTGCCTGCCAAACTGACGTCAAACTGTACAAAACATGGACAAGTAGTCACAGGCAAATTAAACTTTAATGACAGGGCATCAGTGGCCCAATCTGGCCAGTAACAATCCTGTCTACTGTCCCGAGCATCTCATACGCTGGCCCCGGGTCATCGGGCAGTCCTTATTGTTGAGCCCTGATATTTTTACCACACACTTTTGTCCAAAGTGACTTACAATTGAATTGTAGCACACAAGAAGTGCTAATTATACTAAGGAACTGTATGTAATAAGAGAATAAAGTGCTAGAATAAGGGGTGGGGGAGTGTTTTTTAAGAGAGAGAGGAGATTGTTTTCTACAGGTGGTTTGTCAAGCCCACTCACCTGTGTGAGGCACATTTCATAAATGCAGTGTTTTTATTCTTTATATTAGGTATGCAGTCATTGTAAGAAAGTGTCTGGTGCAAATGTGCAAAAACTGTGTGTCAGAGAGATGAAAAAGTATGTTTTCTCTGGGTGGTTTGTCAAGCCCACTCACCTGTGTGAGGCACGCTTTCAGAATTGCATTATGCTTTGAGGCATAAATACAGAACGGTTATGTGAAGGGAAAACTATTTAAAATAGGCAATGTAAACGAAATATCTCCTAAATAATATTCCTAATAAATAATAAATAATAAAACAAGAGTCCTTAACATACACGTTATATATATACCCCTTTCTGTAGGTAAGTTTTGAGGATATCCCCGCACTCCACCAACCTCCTCGAGTGTCCCCGTGTGCTCGTCCTGCTCCTCCTCAAACGAGCTCCAGTTGCCGACCGGACCATCCAGCGGGGGCATGATCGGGATCGCGTCCGGGCTGATGCCGTCGGCTGTGATGTGATGGCTGAGGAAATGGTCTTCGCATATCCGATGAAGATCTGTGATTTCGCGCTCAGTGTCCCGTAAAGCCGCCAGCCACACTTTCACTCGGGCCTTGTCTTTTGGGAACCTGAAGAATCTCTTGCGCGGTCGATTCGGCTGCTCTTCCGGTCTGAGATCGCTAAAGTTTATGCAACCCTGGACCGTGCACTTCACCATCGTCAAAACACGCTGTTTATATCACTACATTCAATCTGATAGGCGTGCAATGTGCCGTGTTTACACTCATCCCTGCAGGAAACGCAAACACCGTGTCACGTGACGGTGTCTGACCAATCAAATAGCTTATTTTCTGCTACTGGTTCTCTCTGATGGCTAAATCTCATATAGTGACATCTAAAGGAACGGAGAGGTAATTTATGTCTGGATTGTTTGTACAGTATTTCAGTATTTTTATTTATGTACATGTATGAATTTCCGAGAAATAAATAAATCTATATAAAGTGCTGGGGAAAGATGAATTTCGATTATACATTTAATTCATTTTCTTTTCGGCTTAGTCTCTTTATTAATCTGGGGTCGCCCCAGCGGAATGAACCGCCAACTTATCCAGCATATGTTTTACGCAGAGGATGCCCTTCCAGCTGCAACCCATCTCTGGCAAACACCCATACACTCTTATTCACACACATACACAAAATTTAGACAATTTAGCTTACCCAATTCGTAGCACGTCTTTGGACTTGTGGGGGAAACCCATGCGAACACGGAGAGAACATGCAAACTCTACACAGAAATGCCAATTGACCCAGTGCTACCCATCACGCCACCCAAAATACAATTAATTGTATCCAAATTGTAGAAATAATAATTTTCTGAAATATATGCAGGCAGGATATAATATAACACACACACACACACACACACACACACACACACAGTACACACACTTAAATTATGTTGACAAACTTTTATTTTTTTAATTTTCCACATTAATATATTTAAGAATTAATAAAATCATGAAAAAAAAATTTCTAAAGATGTAAATAATTTAGTTATTATTGTAAATTATGCAAATCAATTTTTTAACGAATAAATTAATAATAAATTGCTGGTTAATAAAATAATGTAAATGTATGGTTATTTGAAAAATAAAATGTTTCGACAAACTAACCCATTTATGACTTACCTTATGACAGTTTTATCAACATATGTATGATGTAGAGTTTATTTATTAATCAAAACTTTCTGCCCAAAAGGTAAACCATTGTTGGTGTAAATGCAAATTATTTAAGAAAAAAACTCATTTTTAAATTATTAAACAAATGAATAACAACACAAATAAATAAGTAATTCAATAACATAAAATTATTAAGAAAAATAGTAAAAAAAAATTGTGTGTAGTTAACATTTACTGAAAGCTAACTCTACTCATGTGAAAAGAGTTTTGAACTCAGTGTTGAAGGTAATGAGTGAATTAAATACCTCATTACTTCAACTTCAATAGAGTAAGTTCACAGTACTCATATAGATTCATTTTTGAACTTAGATGGTTTGTTGCAATCAGTTTCCCCAAACGGTTTGAGTTATACCTTAACTTTTTGGGGTTTACAGTGAATCGATTAATAAATATATATTTTAAATTAAACAAATCAGTTGTGATACTTTCGGTGAAACCCCATCTAAGATCCTTTTTTTTGGTGATTCCCTGTTTTCTACATAAAATCCTTCCACACAATGTAAAGAATATTCTGTAAAAATATCTTTATTATTAAGGCTTTTTGTAGACTAAAGACTATAGCAGCCAAAATAACAGGTACCGTGGGAGAGGTAGACATTAATGAAGCACAATGTAATGACTAATGAAGTAAATAATATAAATAATTCTTGTAAAAACTTCTGGTTAAAGCTGTATCCCCTAGCAACAACCTTAATAACAAAGAGACAGTTTCAACATTAAAGGGATAGTTCATCCAGTAACACAAAAACAAATAAAATACAGCTATATTTTTAATTCAAATGAACATAGTAACTAATAAATCTGTCTTTTTGCTCACTGTTGACTTATTAATAATAATATGATAATGTTAATATTGTATATTGTGTATAAAAGCTTCAGCAATTAATCTCAACAACAAAAATTGATAATGACAGTTCAACAGCACAAATAATAAATAAAAATAATATACAATTCTGACAAATGTATGTACAATATACTATTATATACAATACTGTATGTATAGATATTTTCTGCAAGTTAAATGTAAACTATGTGTGTTGTTGTGTTGTAAAAATAAATATGTCTTTGTGCATAAATAGTGCTTGTTAGTCAATTATGATCAAGTGTTCATGAGAGGGAAGAAACTGTTCCTGTGTCTGTCTGTTCTGGTGCACAGTGCTCTGTAGCGTCGACCAGTAAAAGCTCAAAGAGTGAGTGTGCTGGACGTGAGAGGTCCAGAGTGATTTTGCTAGCCCTTTTGCTCTGGATGAGTACAGTTCTTGGAGAGAAGGGAGTGTTGTACCAGTGGGGAGCTGAGTCAATTTGGGCAAGACGAGGTTTGGGATGTTCGTGTTAAAAGCTGAGTTGAAGTCCACAAGCAAGATCCTCACAGATCTGTCTAGGTGTTGAAGAACAAAATGCAGCCCTTTGCTGACTGCATCATCCACAGACCTGTTCTCTAGGCAAACTGAAGAGAATCTAGTGAGGGTCCAGTGATGTCCTTCAGGTGGGCCAGCACCAGTTTTTTTTAATTACTTCATGATCACAGATGTTAGAGCCACAGGTATGTAGTCATTAAGTCCTGTAATTTTGAGTTTCTTTGGAAAGGGGATGATGGTGGAGCGTTTAAAGCAAGAGAGCACTTCACACAGCTCCAGTGGTCTGTTGAAGATAGGGTGAAGATAGGAGCTGGCTGGTTTGCACAGGATTTTAGGCAGGCTGGTGTTACACAATCTAGACCTGGAGCTTTTCACCTTTTTGCCTTCCAGAAGACCTGGGTCACATCTTCGCACATCATAGGCGCAACCATGTCACTTATTCAGTTTCAGCTTCAGTTTCCTTTGTTTTTGTCATTCAAAAATCACAATAAATTGTAATGCAGAATGAAATTAGACTAGACTCAAAAGGAACATAAAAACATCAAACACTCTAAATAACATTAAGAAACAAACTTTGTAATTTTATAAATATATAAAACATATAGTTAATACAAATATTTTTTTAAAACCACAAAAGAATAAATACTTTAAAATAGATAAGAAAAAATAAATACTTAAATAACTATTATAAAATAGTGTTATAATAGTTATAATATTGACGATTTGTGCTAGTTGTTTATACACTGTAAAACCCAAAACGTTAAGGTAACTCAAACCATTTGAGGAAACCGATTGCAGCAAACCGTTTAAGTCTAAAAACTAATCCTTATGAGTACTGTGAACTTAATCTATTTGAGTAAACAAAGCAATTTGAGCACAGTAAAACCCAACAAATGAAGAGCCTCAAACCAACTGTAAAGCCCAGTAAGTTAAAACAACTCGAACCCTTTGAGGAAACCGATTGCTGCAAACCATTTGAGTTAAAAACAACTAGTCTGATTTGACCATTACAACTAATGAGTACTGTGAACTTACTCCATTTAAGTAAGAGTAATGAGGTTAACTTAGTTATGAGGAAAACTCTTTTCCCGAGAGTAGAATTAATTTTCAGTCAATTTTGAGTTAACTACACTCATTTCATGTGATAAAGTTGACTGTTGGGTTTTACAGTGTACATTTATTACTAATAGCAATTTAAAAAAATTCAATAGTATTTAAAATTATTAAATAATTATATAATATAATATAATTATATATATTATTTAATAATTATTTTACAATGACAGGATTAAAACTATCATGATACCACACTGATTTGCTCCTCAGGCTTTGGTACCGCCTGCCTGAATGAAAATTTGCAAAGCTTAAGTAAAACCTGTTAAATCACACTCATGAATGACGACTTGAGGAAGCAAATCATTGAAAATTGATCAAAGCACATTTGAAGAGCAGTTTAGAAATCACTGATATTAAGTTACCTTCATGTTTAATGTCGCAAATAAGGTTCCACACAGGTTTCCAAAAAAGTTTTTTTTTTTATTTAATTTTCTCAATATTTCAAAGGAATCAGGTTCTTCATCAGTGCCTTGCAAAATCTCCATTGTTGTTCACCCGTGTCCCGCGGCTGTAGGACTGTAATGGGCTTGTCATAGGCTGCAGGAGAGGAGGGTTCTGGAGATGACAAATGTCGTTCTGTTAAGGAAACAGACATAATCATGTAATGCAGGACTAGCTTAATGAGTGCTTTACTCATTTTCAAATATAACTAATTTAAATAGAACATTTTTTGCATATTCATAAGCAACAATATTGGGTAAAACAGTAATATATTTCATATTTAAGCCTATCTTACTTTACAAAAAATGCAAATACTTTCACATTACCTCCCTTAAAAAGTAGTTAAGTCACACATTTATCAATTTTTTTTTTTTAAAGTGTTGTTTTTCAACATTGATACTGTAAGTGTTTGATTTTGGGGGGTGAACAATTCTGAAAAAACACATTCAGTGTAACCTAATTCATTCAATACAAAATTGAATTCAATTCAATTCAAAACAGAAAGCGGGAAAATCTGAAGACTTGTCAATTAAATTTAAAATTAAAACATTTATGCAATCTATATTTAGGCAGAATTTGATTTCCTTCTGAGATAAATGGTGTATTGTTTTACCATGTACGTTTTTAAACAGTGGATGCAGATAGTAGTACATTCAGTGACGGAATTTTTTTCAACAGAACAAATTTAATTTCTGGGTGAACTATACCTTTAAGTGTCATGACATGTTACACAGAAGCCACTGGCACATGCCACTGTGATACTTCCGGTTGCACATCCTGTTTTCATTGGCGTGTGTTACTGAGAGTGTTTACAATCTAAATAAGCTCTGATGGGTGCTAGTGACTGTCAGTAATACAGGCCACTGCACTGACACATCACAAACATCAGTGGCACACATCACTCTCCACTGACACGTCAATAAAACCAGATCTGACACCAGTATTGTCACTAAGCACAGTATGTGCTAGGGATTTACAAGTCATGTCACTTATTGTTAAAACTGATGAACAAAATTTACACTCATGAATGACGACTAGTGGAAGCAAATCATTGAAAATTGATCAAAGCATTCTTGGAGGGCAGTTTATAATTCACTGATATTAAGTTACATTTATGTTTAATGCCACAGATATAGCTCCATCGTCTGCTGCCAAAGATTTTTTGTTAAGTCTTTGAGGCTCATCTATCAGGTACTTGATCAGTGTGAAATTTCCATTGTTACTCACTGTTCTGCAGCTGCAGGACTGTAATGGGCTTGTTTTAGGCTGCCGGAGAGGAGGGTTCTGGAGATGACAAATGTCATTCTGTTGAAGAAACAGACAAAATCATGTAATGCAGGACACGTTTAATGAGTGCTTCTCTGACTAAATCTTTTTCTGTCATTGCCAAATGAAATCATTTGGAATGGAACATTTTTGCATATTCATAAGCAACAGTGTTGGTAAAACAGTAATATATTTCATATTTAAGCCTCTTACTTTACAAAATACCATATACTTTCACATCACTTACCCATAATAGTAACTAAGTCACACATTTTGTTACTTTTTTTTTTTTAAGTTTTTTTTTTATTCCCAACACTGATGATCAGTGCTTGATTTATTAGGGAACAATTTTGGAAAACACATTCAGTGTAACCTAATTCTTTCAATAAGAGTGAGTAAAACAAAAAGCAGGAACTAACCCTTACTCTCATTCTTCTGAGATGATCAGCAGGCTGAAGATCTCTCATAACTCTTCTATTCAGTAATGAAGATGTCTTCTGAGAGCCTTCAGGCTTGTCCTATTGCTACTCTTCAGGCTGCGGCTCAGCGATAAGATTTTGTCTGTCACTGGCTACAATCTTTACATGCTGCTCATTCTGAAGAGGAAACTGGTTTACACATGCTTTATTCTGTTGAAGAAATAGACAAAAGCATGAGCAAAACTTGTGGAATTACACTCATGAATGACGGCTTGAGAAAGCAAATCATTGAAAATTGATCAAAGCACATTTGGAGAGCGGTTTAGAATTCACTGATATTGAGTTACATTCATGTTTAATGCCACAGATATAGCTCCATCTTTTGCTGCTAAAGATTTTTTGTTGTCTTTGAGGCTCATCTATGAGGTTGACATAATCATATAATGCTGGACATGTTTAAAGAGTGCCTCTCTGACTAAATCTCTTTCTGTCATTTCCAAATGAAATCATTATATCATGCTTTACTTTGTTGAAGAAAAAGACTAAATCATGTGACTCTGAACAGATTTAGTGAAATTCTGAAGACCTGTCAATTCAAACTTTTAGTGGAATCTATGAATTAAGCAGAAATTGACCCCCTGATAAATGATGTATTGTATTAACATGTGAACTTTAAAATAGTGGTTTTAGATGGGGAGTGCTTAACATTTAAAGTGGATCAAAACCTTTCATCAAGTTGTTCTAGATGTAGATCTAACTCCCATTCTTATCTTAGGACAAGTTTGAAAAACTTTGTTTTGATCCAATTCAAATGTTTACTGCTGTGTTGACTCATTTTCCCACAATAACACGAAGTAAAACTAAGAGAAAGCAGAAACAGACCTATACTGTCATTCTCTTCAGCAGATCAGCAGGCTGAACACCTCTCAAAACTCTCCCTTTTATTTTTTGAGAGCTTTTCTGAGGTGTTTCTCAAATTTAATAATTATTTAATGATTACTGGACATAGTAGCCCAGTTTAAAGCATTGTTTCATTTCTTTATTAATTCTGAAAATAAGTCAAAGTATTGACTGACACTATAACATAAGCTCAAGTATACTTAGATATGAGCTGTATTTCTGTTTCATTAAAAAAAGTACAAAAATGCACTATAAAAGCCAAACCATAAGCTTGACTAGGTTTTAAAAACCGAGGATAGGCTATATAGTACATAATTTGGCAAACAATTTTGGCAAATTTGATGTTTCTCCATTCAAACCGAATGCCCGAGCATACTGCCCAACAGATGTTTTAAAGATGGCCGCTTAGTGAAATAACCCTATGACTTTGCTAATTATTTAAAAAAAATATATAAAAACTAATAATTTGAAGAATTTCATTAAATAATTTTTTATATTTATATATTTATATATTTCTTCAGTCTGTTGAAGAAAGTTGAAAACCTGAATCCACTGCCTTCCATAGTAGGGAAAACAGATACTCTGAAAGTAAATGATTACATTTTTGTTCATCAAAATAAATTAACTCATGAAAGTTTGAAAAGGGTGAGGTCTTTTGGGGTGAACTATCCCTTTAAAACGGATCGAATTTCTCATCGCTACAGTGAAGTCTGGCACAAACTCACCAACGTCTGCTTTTCACCCAATCAGCTCTCCGAACGTCACGGTACCTGATTAATATTCATGAGCCAAGCCTTCACAGTAGTAGGATTTGCAAATTGGTCTTGGCGGACTGTAGGGTGTTGTACTGCCGTTTTTTACCAGCAGTGGACAGCAGCAAGCAGCAACAGTCTCTCCAGAGGTGGATGTGGATGTGTGGGATTGAATCAGGGCGAACTGGGCTCTGCCACTGTCATAGAGAACAGCACAGAACACTCATACAATAGCGAAAAAATGGCTACTGAGTCGATATCAGCCTGCACCGGATCCAACTTACTACAGCCAATAAGCGAGATGACCAACCTTCCGTTAGACCAGGTACATTTCTCTTATGTCTGTGTTTGTGAGATGAATGCTGAGGGCACAAAACCCTCATCACAGCTTTCGTTGGCACCCAGGTCCTTTCTACAAGCCCTGTGCACCAAACAATTTGGTAAGGACAAAGAAAACGTTGCATTTTTAACGTTTCCTTCCGAAATTCATGACGTCTGCGTGAGCAGTCGCACATTTCCGTCGGATACTGTTGATGGTGTGCTCATTAAATGTGCCATTTGCGTGATGAAATGGATGATAAAGAGCTCGAGGATTTGCCAGTGTGGACATGGCGAATTTAATTCGTATACATTGTAGATTAATGTAGGCGTTAATATCATAATACACGGTAGAAAAAACACTAGTTAGTGTCTGGCACTTTTTTTTGGAAACGTCATGACGTTGTGCTACCCAAGGAAGCCTTTTAAATCTGTTTTATGTTGTTATCATTTATATTTACACCCAGTTATCATGCATGCATAGCAAAGAGGCGTGCATATACTGTATATGGGTTGCTTTTTATATCCCAGTGAGCTGTCCATATAGGCAGGATTTTGTGATGAGCAAAAAAAAGGCTATCTAGATAGGCAGCTCACTAGACACAGCTATGGCACTTCATGTACCACAGAGAATGGCAGCTTGGATAATTGCATGGCTTTTGATGTGTTCTCTGAAAGACATGACAAACTAGCATGACTTCAGTGAAATCAAGTGTCGTGGTCAGTATCATTTTCTCAAAGGAAATATAGAAGCATTTTTCATAAGACTCCTTGTGTGTTATATGTGCTACACTGTTAGATATAATGTATCATATCATATTATATATCATATGATGGGATTTCAGATTAATTAGTCATTTGATTATGTGACTGGAAAATACCTATCATCAGGGGCATCAACACATAATATGGTCATATCTTCTAGATCAGGTTTGTAAATTAATGTACGCCTGTAGAATATTGTATGCATCTGTATTTTAATTGAGATGCCAAATAAATCAAAATTCAAGCACAGACACTTATTTTGGAGGATATTCACATAGGATGTTCATTTTTCTCTTGATAGATGTTAAATGAGACTTTTAGAAGGAATTCAATTTGATATAATTTGATTAATTTCACATCATTGACACTCACTCCCACATTTCATTGAAGAAGAGTAACTGGCATTTGACTGACTATGGAGTGGTTAGATCAGGGATGGCCAAACCATTTCGTATGAACAGCCAAAAACAAAGCTTAACTGACGGCTATAGGCCGAAGGTTTCATAAAAAATCTGCGGATGTATACACATTTACGCAAGTAAATAAACAAACTTATTGATGGGCTAAAATCTGTGGAAACCTGCAGATTTCTGCTCACACAGATTCTGTGTGGGCCTAGTAATCCCCTAAATTATTTCATGATATTTAGAAATAACTAGAAAACATTGCTTTAATTTTATTAACGAAGGCAGTATATTTAAAAAAAGTTAAATTATCAAGTTATTACAACAAAATCATAAACAATCCAAATAATACAATGGAGTTCAATGCTGAATACACTAAGCTGCATCTGTCTTTGCCTTGATTTCCTTGCCGATGTCTTGTGCATTGCCTGATATTCGTCGAGTGACAGTATTATTTTCAGTTTTTTAATATCTGATGAATTTACAAAACAAACAAAAGGTTATATTACAATAGAAATGACGGTATTTGACAAAGTTATTCACCCAGACCACCAACCCATCATTTTTTCTCTCCTCTCAAATGGAATGGTGGGCCAAATCAAAGGTTGGAATGGGCCAACTTTGGCCTGAGCACCCTGTTTGGGCATTTTTGGATTATAGGGTTACCATAAAGCCAGACTTATTTATTTATTAGTTATTAATCAGACTATTTGTCACATTTTATTGGTGATATTTATTGGCTGATCTTTTTTTCCTAATTAAAACCGATATATAGAATAAAATAATTGTACTGAATAATTATAAAATGACTTTAAGCTGTTATGTCAGGTGCATATTCCAATAAGGGGGTAAAATAATATATTTTACAAAATAATGTAAAATACATGATATGAGAAAAAATGATAACTTTAACATTAAATGCTAGTTGTAGTGGGAAGAAAATGCTAGTTTTTTTTTCTTTGCATACAGACACTTTCGATGTGGCTTTCTTGGGAAAGTTAACTCCTCTGAAGTGTCCTGTTGATGGAGAATATCTCTGAAGTGAGAACAGACTGTAATGTGAGCAGTGCTCGGCTAGCATTGCTCTCTCTTTCCCAGACACTGGACTCCTGTTACACTTGGGCCTAAAAGAGAGAATGTCTCTAATGCATTTTGTTTCTGGTGCAATTTGTGGCTGATTTGGATCAGACGGGTTTCCTTGTTCCCTCTGCGACAGGATTGCTTCTTGTTCATTCTGGTGTGTTTTGTACACATTACAGTCGCATTCATCAAATGACAGCGCATTTCATCAGTGATGCTGTGAGGTCAGAGCAGGTCACCAGCTTCAGTGCTTTTAATATTCGCCTGAAGAACAGGCTGTTTCACAGCAATCCATGGTCAGGTTGTAAGGTTAAAGCCTTCAAACTGTTCAGCAGAATGTTGTTGTCATCTTTGGCTTAAGAATATCCACATTTTGAAACTGTCCTACTTTTAGTTAAACACTTATTAAATGATTAAACAATGAATTATAGTAAGATAAAAATTTAATTATATTAATTATAAAAGAGATTTTTCTAGTCAATTCCATTATATTATCTTACATTTGGTAAAGTAATACTCCTTTTAAAAATAAAAGTAAGTTTTTGACTTACATTTGTTAAAATAATTAATATCTACACAGCTTTCGACTTTGGGCCTACTCACACTATGCTACCCGAACCGTGCCCAGACCCGTTTCCCGTCGTTTGAGAAGTGTGAGTGCGCTGAATCGGGCTCAGGCACGGTTCACTTGGCCGGCCCTGGCCCGGTTGGAAGAGGTGGGCCTGAGCGCGGTTCGCTTGTAGTGTGAGTGCAAAACGCGCCAAAGCCCGAAACTAAAAGCGAGACGTGACTTAAAGGGACTGTTTCATATGGATTTATTAATCATTCTGACTGTTCAGTGAACGCAAACTGCCGTAGTTTATTAAAGACGCAAACTCCTCACTGCTGGACAGCTGCGCGCTGTCAGCAGACCTCCTCATTCCTGCAGCACGAGGGCTTTATAATTGTTTATGAGCGTCAAAAGTGGCGGATCTGTTCGGCGAAATATCTGACTGGGCATCTCCGCATGTCTGAGGACTGTTTGGCGAATTATCTGACTGGATGTCACTGCATATCAAACGACTGAAACGATATAACTAGAGAAATCTCCACTGTGCTGCTGAGCAAAAGCGCTTCTCACTGAACAGCGCAGCAGCGATGACGTAAGCGTGCCCAGGCCCGATTGTGGTGACTCTACAAATCAAGTGGTCTGTAGCTCGTGGTCAACTATGATTCAGACTCAACATTGTAGATCCTGCGATGTGACTATTTCAGATGCGCATATTGCGATATTGATGCTGAAACGAAATATTGTTTCATTTATTGTGATTTAAATGAAATTTTTATTAAAATGAAAATAACAAAATATTTTATTGATTTTATCTAATGGAATAGTGAATTAGTTTTATATATAGCATTTATTGATTTTATCATATAACATCAAAATAATAATGCAAATATATAATATTTAATTATATATAAATATGTTAGTGCATATAGTACTTAGCATAAATGAATATGACCCTTTTTGAAAATGAATATAGAAAGATAATAAACTTACATCCATACGTGTTATTGCAAAAAAATAAAAATTTAAGATTTTTTTATGCTTCTCTTGATTTTTTTTTTCTCTTTTTTAAAATTTTATTTTATATTTTTCTCCAACAAATTAATTTGCGAGTATTAATTTTTGGATATTAAGTTTTTAGTTAGATTGGTTCCAGTTTTGGCTTTGGTTATGACTTATCTAATGTAAATCCACAAATGTTTTATTGCAAAGCATAGAAGATATGAGTTTAAACGAGAGATCTGTGAGCTGTGAGGTCTGTACATCTCTGTGCATCACTCAATGTTTAATTCAAATATAATATTTAATACTATTACTTTTATTTCATAAACAGCATTTATATATCAAAATAACTGTCAAAATCACTGTTGGTATGGTATCAGTAACAAATCAGTATCAGTTAATCCCTAGTGCATTGAGTGGTCAATTCAGTTCAGCTGCATTTCATATTACCCATAATAAATTAATATTTTAATTATTAATTACATTTTAATCACAATAATAACAGTATTGTCTATTTATCAATTACCTGCCATGACATCAATTTAATTATTGGTATTGGTCACAATTTCTATATCAGTATTTCCCTGGCGTATTCTGAGATCAGGGAACAAGGATAGATCGCTGATAGTGCCAGTGAATCAAGAAGCGTCGTGTTAACATTTTATGCTCTGCTTAACCATTTGACTACGAGAGGTGTTGGTTTCAGGAGCTGAATGAACAAGTCAAGTGTATGACTGTATTCTTACCAAACAATGCCACAATACCTGACTTTTGCTTACAGAGGCTCATTAATGCAACTGACACCAGTGTGTTTTGTTGTGTGGGCCAACAGATTCATTTGTCAGCCAATGTGCACTACCTGGTGCACTTGGATTGTTTGATTGAGTTTAAGGCATATCCTTATAAATCATTGAAGTGGTAATTTAAGTACATTTGCGCATTACAAGGGCTGTCTTGGTTATGCATAACGCCTGACGTTTAGTAGTCTAAAAATCGATGCAATTATGGCGCTCGATTGTCTGTTTTTTTTTTTTTTTTTTTACAAAATAACTTAAAACTTTTGTTTAAATTTGGTTCTTTGTGTAACATCACAACTCACGAGACCTTTTTTTACCTGGACGACAAATTCACCTCGTCTCGATTTAATCTTGTGAGATCTCATCATATGGCATCTCGTCACACCCCTAGCTACTGCAATTCTGGATGAAT